CCACCTTTGTATCCGAATCCCACGCCGGCCTGAAGTGAACGGTGCGGTTGTCCTTGGGCGGGTCGCCCTGTGGGTGGGCGGTGACCGGCAGCGGCTGTGGAAGCGGCCCCCCCTGTCCCCCTCGCGGGGGTCCCTCTGGCGGGACTGCTGTAGGACCTGCACCTGCTCGAGTATCTTCAGCACGTCCTCCTCGCAGAGGTCGGTGTAGCCGCTCGCGACGAGCACCTCGCGGGCCCGATCCACCGCGGCCTTGTCAAAGGCCGGGCCGGCAGACGGCGCGGTGGCCCCCGGGCGGGACTCGGCCTGTGAGTTCAAATGGGAATAATTCTCGCTCGTCCCTGGCACGCTTGTCATCTCGTCATGAGAGGTGGTGGTGAGCGATATCGGGGACAACATGGATGGCGTGGGATTGTTCGTGAGGTCGGTGCACCTTTACTAGACAGGGACTATGAAGAGGATACACGCACCCTCGCTCGAGTAGTTGGACTAAGGTTTTAAAGACTGGCTAATAGCAGACAGAAGAAAAGTCGAAACAGTAGTATGTGTTTTTAGCATGGACTACAAACATGTTTATTTAGTCAAGCTCCTTAACCTCATTAGGTTATTATGATATTTAATATAAATATTTTACTTAATATTAAATACTTTGATTAAATTAGACATCTGTACTACATAAGTAGCCCAGATGTATTATTCTATTTCCATTTCCTCCCTCGCATTCTGATCCTTAATACACATTGTTGTTAGATATATCATTATTAAATGTGATTTACCATCCAAAGAGTTCCTTGAGAGTAGAACAGGAATAATTTAAGACAAATTTCATTATTCTTATCAACAATAAAAAAACCTGTGTGAAAACACCTAAAAACAACAACTTTAAAAGGAGGGAAGTCTCATCTTTGACAAAAGGCACATTTATTTACACACACATAGAGATTGGTGACACACTTCAAAACATGAAGATGGGAAATATGTACGTACACCAAAAAGAGTTAATATCCATTCAATTTAAACGATTGAAGTGTGCAAAAAGAAAATTTTCTATCTCCTTTGATTTATTAAAACTCCTAGACTGATAAAACAATTAGTTATATATGTTAAGCCGTGTACATATATACATATACATACACGCACGCACGCACACACATACACAGACATATATATATATATTTACATAGATTTACACTATACTATATTTTCTATTTATTTGATATTTTTTTCTTTTTCCTTTCCCTTCATACGAAACATGAGGGATCGATCTAAAACTTTATTAAGCATTTTTATCCCAGTTTCGTTTAGACAAAACATAAAGATTTGTGTAAGTAAATAAATGCATCATCATCACCACCACCCAACAATTTTTTTTTATAGTTTTATAATATCATTATTTATCCAACATTCCTTTTATCATTCATCGCTCGGTTCCCTTCTAGATATTATATCTATACATATCTATATATCTATAGATATAACATCATTTTTATATTTATGCTTTGGTTCCTCGCCCTTTTATCGGTCAGTACTGTTTTAGAGGCCCCATTATACGTGGGGCATCTGGTACTTTTCAGTGTTCTTTCAGGAAGCCCATATCCCTTTCCTTCCATGTGCCTCTCCCCATATGTACGATCGTGACCAGCAGCGACGGTGAAGAGGATTGAAAGATACATAAAATCGACCGATTGGTCCATCCGTGCGTGACCCACCATCAAACTCGCCCTTATTCGCCCAGGTACGCCGCGAAATCGACGGGGAGCTCGTCAATCTGGGTGTGGTAGTGGGCCTCGATCTCATGGAGCACATCCACGTCCTTATCCGTGACGAAGTTGATGGCGACGCCCTTACGCCCATAGCGCCCGCCGCGCCCGATTCGGTGCAGGTAGCTTTCCTTATTGGCGGAGAGGTCGAAGTTGATGACGATGTTGACGTGGTGGACGTCGATGCCGCGCGAGACGAGGTCCGTCGTCACGAGGACCCTCGAGCGCCCGGAGCGGAAGGTGCTCATCACCTCCTCGCGGTCGACCTTCGTCATCTCGGCGTGCATGCTACTGACGGTGTGGTTGTTCCTGTTGAGCTGCTCGGAGATCCAGTCCACCTTGCGGCGGGTGTTCGCGAAGATGACGGACTGGGCAATGGAGACGGTCTCGTAGAGGTCCATTAGCGTGTCCAGCTTGTGCTCCTCCTCCACGGCGATGAAGAACTGCTTAATCCCCTCCAGGGTTAGGCTCTCGCGCTTGACCAGGATGCGGACCGGGTCGCGCATGAACTTCTTCGTCAGCTCCAGCACGTCCTCCGGCATCGTCGCGGAGAAGAGGGCGACCTGGATGTCCTTCGGGAGGAAGCGGAAGATGTCGTAGATCTGC